TCCAGCAAACTGAGCTTTGCCATGTCACTAGCTACTAACTTACACATCTCTATGCATGTCAGAGAAAATACATCCTTCTGTTTTCTTCTGCCTCCATGCTCCCAGAGCTGTGGTCTGGCAACAGGATGGGGTGCAAAGTACAAGGCAACACCGGAGGGGTCTGCTCCTCATGGGTCCCTCCTCATTCTCCCAGCTCTGCAGCAACAAGAAGCTGTGGGCTTTCCCTTCTGCAGGGCTCTCAGCTGCCCATCGAGAGCTGACACAAAGACAAGAGGCTGCAGAGAGGCCAAGGCGGAGGAGAGGGGAGGTTGGAGCTGATCATAGAATCATAGAACAGTTAGGGTTAGAAAGGACCTTAAGATCATCCAGTTCCAACCCCCCTGCCATGGGCAGGGACACCTCACACTAAACCATGTCACCCAAGGCTCTATCCAACCTGGCCTTGAACACCGCCAGGGATGGAGCATTCACAACTTCCCTGGGCAACCCATTCCAGTGCTTCACCACCCTTACAGTAAAGAACTTCCTCCTTATATCCAATCTAAACTTCCCCTGTTTAAGTTTTAACCCATTACCCCTTGTCCTATCACTATAGTTCCTAGTGAAGAGTCCCTCCCCAGCATCCTTGTAGGCCCCCCGTCAGATACTGGAAGGCTGCTATGAGGTCTCCACGCAGCCTTCTCTTCTCCAGGATGAACAGCCCCAACTTTCTCAGCCTATCTTCATATGGGAGGTGCTCCAGTCCCCTGATCATCCTCGTGGCCCTCCTCTGGACTTGTTCCAACAGTTCCATGTCCTTCTTATGTTGAGGACCACACAGCTTGGTGTCATTGGCAAACTTGCTGAGGGCACACTCAATCCCACTGTCCGTGTCACCGACAAAGATGTTGAACAAGACTGGTCCCAACACCGATCCCTGAGGGACACCACTCGTTACTGGTCTCCAGCCATTGACCACAACTCTTTGCATGTGGCCATCCAGCCAGTTCTTTATCCACCGAGTGGTCCATCCATCAAATTGATGTCTCTCCAATTTAGAGACAAGGATGTCGTGTGGAACAGTGTTGAACGCTTTGCACAAGTCCAGGTAGATGACATCAACTGCTCTACCCCTGTCCATCAGTTCTGTAGCCCTATCATAGAAGGCCACCAAATTGGTCAGGCAGGATTTCCCCTTAGTGAAGCCCTGCTGGCTGTCACCAAGCACCTTGTTGTTTTTCATGTCCCTTAGCATGATTTCCAGAGGAATCTGCTTGAAGATTTTGCCAGGCACAGAGGTGAGACTGACTGGTCTGTAATTCCCCGGGTCATCCATTTTCCCCTTCTTGAAAATGGGGGTTATATTTCCCTTTTTCCAGTCATCAGGAACTTCACCTGACTGCCATGATTTTTTGATACCGCCTCTCAAGAGCTGTGTTGGGTGTTAGTGCTTGCAAATAAATTTGTAATCAGTAAGGTACCCACGCACTGTCCCTTCAAATATAAACAAAAATTTTAGAACCAAACCAAAAATCTTTGAATAGACTCTCAAAAGAGTATGTATGCATGTAAATGAAAATCATGCAATCTCTAAGATTCAGAAGCTGTACACCAAATGACAGGTGATTCCTTTTGACTCATCATTTCCCATATATATTCTTAGCTCACCAAACAAATTTAATCTGATACATTCAGCATTAACGGCTGTTTCTTGCTAAACCTACTTTAGCTACCCCTCTAACACATACTTCTGTGATCCTGTGAGCCTGCGCCTCCCACCATGGGGCAGGCACACCGCAGTCCACTTCAAAGCATTTTCAGTGTCCACAATGCACAACTAACTTCTGTGGGCATGTGCCTCTCAGCAGGACACCCCCAGGGAGAAATGTGGCTGCAAGCCCAGCCATCAGCTTTCAGTATTTGCTTAGTGCAGAGGTGATGTTTTCTGGAAAATAATTGCTGTCCCCTTTTGCTAGCTGAGGGTTGTGTTTCCAAATAGCATGTGACAGGAGTTACTCAGGACAGCTGCCCTCAGTCACCCGTGCTGCAACAGGGCTGATGGCCAGCCAGTGTCCACAGCACGAAGTGGGTGACATTGGTATGTTCCCATCACATCCCCATCACTGCCCAGGGAGCTGGTCTGCAAACCTGCTTCCGCTGTCTTGCCGCACTGCTGAGGTGGGGAGACTTCCATGGGAACCACTTGCTAATGTAGGACCAACTAATTCAGTTACTCCATCCTGAGAAACTGCAGATGTTGTATTTGACACCACATGCAGGCTTCATGCTGGAAGGAGTTACCCTTCAAGCAGGAGGCAATCCTTAAGCCAGCCTACAGGAAATAGGGTGCAGGACTCCTTAATGAAACACGTCTCCATGTGTACACTGTGGTAGTTAAAGGGATAGAATAAGAAATCCCACTTACTCTTCATAAAGACGTGAGGAAAGGACTGCCCTTTTTTCGAACCCTCTCTTTGTGTGATTTTCCATAGTAATACAAAAATCAAAATGTAAAGCCTGTTGAATTGGTATCAATACAGAAAAAGCAAAGTCAGTGCCATAACGTGAGTACACTGTGGACTGTTCCCAAGGACGCAGCTGCTCAATCAAGGAATATAATTTAAAAGAAAAAAAACACAGAGTAAGAAAACAATGACCTTGTAAACGAAGACCTGGTGAGAATACAGCTCCTGAAGCTCTGTGTTGTTAATATTGACCTCATCTGAACAATTATCTTATTCCTACAAGAGTTCTTGATTGAGATAGGTTTGTGAAAATAAATAAATAAATCCGCAGGTCTACATTTTTATGCTGGTTTCTGTGAAGTCCTGTGCTGACATCAAGTGGTGACTAACTTTTCATTCCGAAGGGAGCCTGACTTATGATACTGCATATGGACAGCGTGATATTTGTTATCACGGGAAGGGAAAGGTGAGTACACAGGCCACAGAGGGACTACAGCAACAGCCTCACTGGCAGGTGATCCCATGGGGATGGACAGCCCATGGAGTATGGAAAAGCAATGAAGCCATTGTGCAAGGCAAAGAGGGTAAGCTGAGCCTCTGCAGCAGCGCCGGGGCACACGAGGTGCTGGCTGAGCCTCCCCAGCAGCCACCAGATGTGAGCCCTGGCAACAGCCCCCCTTTTAATGAGCTAAGAAATGCCTGGCTGGGACAGGTTCAATGGGGTCTGGTGGCCTCAGGGGAGTGAGGAGGGCATGGAGAACTCATTTACTAAAGAAAGCATGACACTCAGTTAACCAAAAAGGACAGGAGGCTCTATTAATTAGTTCTGCAGAAATATCAAAGAGGGAAAGATAAATATGCACAGCTATGAACTGGCTGTGAATAAAATCAAGCTTCATATTAGGAGGGTTTTAACTTGGAGTAAACTTCTGGAACAACATCCCTGTGGAGACTGTGCAGGAAAACCCTCCCACAATGCAGTTTTAATGAGGAAGTTAATTATTTGCTGAAGGCATTAGGGTCCATGATATGAACATGTAACATCAGCCACGGGTTAGCAGAGGCTGGCCTTGGCAAGGCATGCAGTCTGCTTCTCTCACCCTCATCAGCAATCACTGAAGCTGGTTTCAAAAGCTGCAACTGATGGCAAAAGAAGGTTTATATGCGGATTTCCTGGTGAATGCTCAGATCAATTATACTTTGTTAAAAGAACTGCATACTCAAATAATAGCTGGGAATGTATGACATGAAAACACAGAATGGTCTCTATGTTTCCAACTTGGATTGAAGAAACCCACCACTTTTTCTCTCATTGGTTGGTGCTCTGACTGTAGGAATGGTTTCCTGGTCTTTCCAGGAGCCTTCCAGTGCTGGGAGCCAAAAAGCACCCTGCACCACCATTGCTATTGCACGCTGTTGTGGTTTAACACCAGCTGGCAATTAAGTACCACTCGGCTATTCGCTTTCCAGTGGGATGAGAGAGGATGAGAGTCAGGAAAAAGGTAAAAACCATGGGTTGAGATAAGGACAGTTTATTAACTAAAATAAGGTGTAATATAATATAATGGGAATAACGAGAGAGGTATAAAACAAAAAAAAAAAGCAATAAAGAAGAGTGGTGCACAGTACAATTGCTCACCAGCCGATACCCAGCCCGACCTGAGCAGCAATTGGTCCCTTTTGGGTAACTACCTCCGGTTTCTATACTGGGCATGACATGCTGTGGTATGGAGTACCCCTTTGGCTAGTTTGGGTCAGATGTCCTGTCTCTGCTTCCTCCCGGCTTCCTGTGCCCCTCCTCACTGACAGAGCATGAGAGACTGAAAAGTCTTTGACTTAGGGCAAGCACTACTTAAGAACAACTAAAACATCAGTGTGCTACCAACATTGTTCTCAGACTGAAGGCAAAACACTGTACCAGATACTAGGAAGAAAAATAACTCCATCCCAGCCACAACCAGATGTATGCCAATGGGTTATTCCTTCCTCTCATCCTTGGCCAGGCAGGAGTCTGGCCCTGCCTGTTGCGTATAAGGCTCTGATCCTCTCTGTACTTACACCTCCTATCACAGGCTCTGTGTGTCCATATATGGCCAGGATCCTGAAGTCAGGAAGAGTTTCCCATGCTTTCCTTCATGGCTGAGCAGTACAAACCTAACAGTGAAAAAGAAAAATGCCATATCTGTTCAGATACATCTCTAGGGGAGAAATCCCTTGGTTGCTTGGTTGCTCCAAAAGCTGATGGGATTTGACTGGAGCACCTCAGCCTTGGTAGATGTTTTCTGGGGACAGTATACGAAAGATCAAAGCCATCAAATTGTTCCCTGTGGTCATCATCCAGCTTGTACTTTGATATGGTACAAAGTACATTCTTACTGTTGATCTCTTGCTGTTTTATGTTACGGGAAGTGATAGCTTGAGGGTGGGAGGAATACACAACTCTTGGAGCAGCTCTCCGCGGAGCTGTCAAACCTGCTCCACCTTCAGCCAGTGCACTTTGAGTAGGGGCAGGTTTGCTTTTGGTTTGTTTTTCCATGTTTTTCCATGCACTGACCTTGCAGCCAGGCTTTGCCCTGAGAGGTTTTGTTTTCTCATGAGCAGCTGGACTTTAAACTTCAACATCCCTCATGTAGCCATTTCCCCCAGACCTGCAGGAATGCAGGCAGGCAGCCATTAGGCTCAGAGGGTAGCAATGGCAAGGTGCTCTTGGACAATATTGTTTCTTCTCTCTGCCCTTTTCCTTCAGACAGAGCAGACAGGTATGGCCTTTGTTTTATTGTGGCTTTAATTCTGATTTGTGCTACTGCTGCTCTAAAAACACCAGTAATTTTGTACCTTGTATCATGTTTACTTTGTAGCACAGGCTGACACCACTGAAAACTGTTCCTTATTTTCCTTACATTTCTTCTGTTTATTTCATACAGCTAAGTAAAAATGGCAGTAGGTTACTGAGGCAGTATGATTTTGAAGTAACATCATTTACATCAGGCTAGTATTTTGTCTTCTCACTTTTAAAGAGTGTCCCAGATATTAAAGAGAATTTTGTGTTATATTTCTAGTTGCTGCTGAAATACAAATAAGAGTCCAGTAAAAGAGGCTGAGATATATGCTTGTTATAGCTTGAAGAAATTTATGTTTCTGTATTAATCCTCCATGGTTTGCCAAAAATAAGGAGGAGATGGGCAAGGAGGAAAAAGATGGTGACAGCGTAAGAAGGTCAAAACTGGTCCCTGGCAGCAGCAGAAGTGCTCTGCCAGTTATGCTGGATACACCAGGACCACTGCATGGCAGAAATGTGCGCTGGGGTATCAGATAAGGCTTTAAAATGTAAAATACAATCATGGAGCTTTTCATTTTTGATTTCTTAATATCATATGCAAGCCTGTTGCTCATCAGGTATCCTTCAAAAGCATCTGTATGCAGTTTCAAATAATTTTGTTATTGCTGTCACTTTTTCCACTTCTAATATTGATCATTTCAACCTTTGTGCCCAGCAGCATTGGGCCCCCAAACACTGTATAAAACACAAAAAAAACAAAACCAAAAACCAAACAGTCCTGCCCCAACGCATTTACTCTCCAGGCCCAGAACTAACGTGCTGACACACACAGCCACATACTGTTTAGTGTCAAAGGCAATAGGGTCCAGCATGGCTGCAGCTGTCTGGCTGCCAGGCAGATTTTGTTGTGGGTATCATTGCAAAGAGGAGTTTTAAGATCTGGTAACTTTCATGTCTTTGATCTCTTTAATCAAATAAAAAAGTTTATTGTGTCTTCCATGTAAAGGGTGGCATATGATAAAGCTCTTAACTTCGAGCACTGCTGAGGGGTAGCTTTTACTTATTTTCCTTAAGACAGATTTGATCGAGAACTTAACTATGTCATGGTTTTGCTTCTCAGCTGGTGAAAGGCACCAGTTGGAATCCATCATCATAAAGTAATACAAGTCATTCTCACTTCTATTGGTGAGTCTGAAAACCCCATCCAGTCGTACAAAACAGCCTCTGCCTTTACGGTAATACTTTTCCCCTTTCCCTGGCCGTGCCACAGCAACGCTGGTCTGTGTGTCTGGTGCAGGAAGGAAAGGTGCTGGGAAGGGCTTCAAACTCTCCCAGCTCTGGTGCAAGTCAGACACTCCCCAAAAGTAAAAGGTGACAGATCCCCAGGTGAGTTTGGGCTAAGAAAGCAAGGCTTTTTCAATATATGAGTTTAATAAGGCTGAAACCCTAACTCTTCAAAGAAAGGTAAAAGTATGCAAGGAAATGAATCAAAGTATTTACATCAGCATTTTGTCATACAATGTCCCAGTGTTTATATCAGCTGTTGACGCAAACACTGTTATCAAGAGACAGAGGCGTGCCAGTTCCTTACATTTGGAGGAGATCCTCCAAGGCAACTTGGAAAGGGAATGCTTTGAAGAGAGATGTACACATGAAGAAGCAAGAGAAGTGTTTGAAAATGATGAAATGCTTGTAAGTACTTTGTTTTCCTGTCTGCATAATAAAAATTACTGCCTTGGTCCTTTACTATCAAATACAGCCCCACTGCCTGCTTCATGAGAGGTCTTTGAACCTCAGCAGGTATAAAGCATGTGTCTTCAATGGTTAAAATGGAAATGCAAAGGTTAGCTCTGATGTTTTTCAAGTCCCCTCCTAAAAAATTATGCATCCTGGACCTTACGTTGAAAAATCTATGGCTGTTGTTTCATCCTGACCATGCACAGAAATACAGCTTTAGCATCCCTTAGGGACCAGGAGGCGCAAGGAGGTGTTGGCATGGAGGGAAACAAGGCATCGGTGATTAGTAGGACATATTGATAGAGGTTCACTTGGTCAGCAGATGCAAATCCTCTGATACAAGAGGTCCTCCTGACACACAGAGGTGGATGCTGTGCTCTATAACAGGAGCCTAGCCAGAGATTGTGTTTGCAGGGAAAGCAGAGGTGACAGCCATAGGCCTGCCCATGGGTGGTCCCTGTGCTCTGGGGAAGGTTGATTGCCGGGAGGTACAGGGAGTGGAGAGAGGTGTCCCTTTGGGGAAAGAAGCAGCAAAGCTGGCTGCAGTACCCATAGAAAAGCAGGACACATGGTGCTGGTAACCCACAGATCTGCTCTGCTGACCCCTCTACCTCTAGCAGCACCTGCTGGAGGCCAAGCAGGATGGGATGGGACAGGATGGGACAGGATGGATGGGGTCACTTCCCAGGCCGATGCACACTGAAGAGACAATGGCCAGCCATTTTTTCCAGGAAGCTGTACTTCTGAAGGATTCAGCTGTTCCTCTCTTGCCTATGAAGTTTCTTTTCCTTTATAGCTTCTTAAACAATACAATAAGCAGGATGCAAACCCCTCCCATCTTATTCAAATTTTGCTGGTAGTGCAGAATTTGTAGCTGTGCACATGTTAAACCACAGTATATATTCTCTCATATAACCTTTTTGGTTTATCAAAACATTTATGGAAGATTACACTATTTTTGAACTAAAATCTAACTTATTTTCCTTTTTTTTCCCCTCCCAGAAAATGTTTTGGGATGCCTACTATGGTAAGACAGTCGACAGTCTCGATTTCTCTCCTTCATAGCGCTGTCACACTATGAACATTCAGTCCAATGCTCATTTTCAGAGAGTTTTTAGCAGTTTATTCTACAAGGAACATCCAGTCACTATTTGTCATGTCTGTAGTAAAGCATGAGGAAAGGTTTTGATGTGAATGGATTTAAAAAATGGTAAACAAGAAAAAAACTTAAGACTGCAAAGTGTATAAAAGTTGAAAGTAAATTGATGTTATCATAGTAAATAGGCTATTTCCTGAACTTATGGCTTCTCTGAAACAGCCTGGGACCTGAGAAAGTCTTCTTTGCTGATACAATAGAGCAGCACAGCTCTATCAGCAAAACCTCCCTAATACAAACCTAGCACGCTTAAAGAGATAAAGAGGTGTTAAAAACTACTGGGGTGCCTGCAAACTCTGGATGCTGGCATTACATCGTCCACTGGCAGTTGACAAGACAAGAAACCAATCTGTAAAAGTTCTACAATGTGGTGGTAACTCATCCCTCTCCTGTGGTGCGGCTCCAGGTGGCAGGAGGTGCTCATCGAGCCCCTGCCAGCACAATGGTGTGTGTGAGGACAGCATCCGTGGGTACACCTGCACCTGTGCTGAGGGCTACGAGGGAGAGAACTGTGCTTTCGGTAAGGCATCACCCTCCTTCTAAGAAGCCCTATCTCCTCCTGTCTTAGGGGGTCCCTGGGAAATGTACGCAGCTCTCTGATTAGGGCCAGTTATCAGATTTTAGGTTAAAGCCCACCATTCTTGGCAGAACAGGGGCGATGCGTGCTGCCTGCTCACTAAAATGTTATGGCATCCCGAAGCTTTGCAGGCTGCCTCTTCCCCCTGAGCCTCCCTGCTCTGGGGTCCAAAGGTGGGTTCCAAAGGCAGCCCTGCCACTGCCACCTGCACCCCCCGGCTGCTTCTGCCAAGGTCCAGGCAGCGTGTGGCCTGAAGAAGCAGGGTTGCAGTGCCAGTGCCTGGGAAGCCACCCCTGTGACTCCAAGGTCACACATACCCACAAGGCAATCCCTCAGGACAGAGGGACTCCAGAACTGTTTTCAGTGGACATGTAAAAGGCGTAAAGCAAAACGGATGCTTTCTGGCACGTAAAACACCCTGGGCCAGACCCTACATTTTCACATCTGCCAGGTTCTACCTTCCAGCCCTTACATTAGTATTTCTGCTGGCTCAGAGGTCCCCTGGGGTGGGAGACACCCTGGCTGGGGAAAGGCAGGGTCATTTTCTGTATAAGGGTGTTGACTATGACCAGCTTCTGAAGGAGCACCAAAGATGACACAGCTGGGACCAGTGCTGAGAACTGGGTCTGCTCAGCAGGAGCTACCTTATGTGAGGTTTGTCACTACTTCTCCACCTGTGAGCTAGATCCATCATTAAAAGGCTATTCCTCCTATTGCTTTGTGCTGAAGCTGAAGCCTTTACTCAGCTATGGAAAGTTGACCGACCATGTTACAAAGACAAGTAATACCCCCCTTCTTTTTTCTTGTCTTTGGTAGTTGCTAAGTTTCTTAGCACAAGTGTGAGAATAAGATCTAAGCATTTGATTTTGCTACAAAGCAAAGCAGAAAGCCTAAGCCTTCTTCCTCAAGCAATACCTGCCTTCCTAACGTGCACAACGGTTCTCTCAGTTGCAAATGCTTAGTGTTTTGTTTAAGAGAGCAGAAAGAAAATCCATGGCATCCTTCCATGGGTTCACACAGAAGGCCTTGCTTGACCCTTAGCTAACACCCCCCAAAACTCAGAGCCACAGACAGTCTGGTGCAAGAAGGTGCTGGGTGAGCACAGTTTGCAAAGAGTCTGTGAATGCTGCAGGCTCAACTATCTCCAATTTCTGCTTAAACAATGTGGTGTGAAATACTACCAAGGCAGTCCCTACCCACCTCCCCATAAAGCAAGTAAAAAAAAGAATGCCAAGTAAAGATGACTCAAGCCATGCAAGAATACTCCAGCTGAACAGTTCCCGATGTTTTTCCCTGACTTGTTCTGTTTAGCTAAAAATGAATGTCACCACCAAGCAAAGGAAGGATGTCACCACTTCTGCTACCCAGGAAGTAATTCCTACTATTGTTCCTGTGCTGACAGCTATGAGCTCGGGAAGGACAAAAAACAGTGCATTGCATTAGGTAGGTGTGAGCATGGAAGTACAGGAGGCACATGCTCAGTGCTGTGGTGGGCAGACATCCATCCGGTATCCAGATGTGATCAGCCTGCTTTGAGACTGAAGTAACGAGCGAATTACCTGCCAAACTGCACAAAAGGAGGAACGTAGGGAACACCACCCAAATGCCAGAACAGTGGTAAAAGAAGCAATCTTTGATCTGAACATTTAAAGATGAGTCCACAGAGAGGACTTGCATTACCCTACATATCACTCACTGGGCCAGGTTTTCTACCTGGTAAAGAGCAACTCTGCTAAAGTGCAGTCTGTTTGGGAATGAGGCTGAACTGATTCTGATCAGGCACTTGATGATGGGCAACATCTGCTGCCATATTCATTAGCTTGGACCAGTAGCCCTCTTAATTTTTTCAGGCTCATACTAGGTATCTCATGCAATCTCATCCCCTTATAAACTAAGTCTACTACAAACAGTAGTAAACTTAAACCTGTCTATTTTAGCAAGTAGGGCACACATTGTCTCAAAATGATACAGCATGAGGTGTTGATTTTCTTTAATTCATTTCTAGATCAATGTGCATGTGGCAGACTTCAAGACACTGATAATGTGATACATGGAACCAGGAAGAAAAGTGATGAGCAGTTTCCCTGGCAGGTATTTCTAGCAATTCATGAATCCCAACACTCAACCTCATATGAACAGCGCTATCTGTTGTCCACTTGCATTTTCTTAGGTCCTGCTGCTGAACTCTGAAGGGAAGGGCTTCTGTGGAGGAGTGCTGCTAAAAAGTAACTTTGTGTTGACTACAGCAGAGTGTGCTCTTTTGCACAGCCATTTCGAAGTCAGGGTTGGCACTGGTAGGTGATCCAACACATTTTCTCCTGTTGCAGCACATTCTAGCATTGATAAGCTCAATTTAAAAAAAAAGCTTACTAAAATTTCTGCTGTATAAAAATATTAAATGTGATGACAGCTGATTTGTTTCCTTTAAGAATCTGAGTGAAGTATCTTGAGCTAGAACTACAGCTGCTCCATACTCCCCCGTTAAGTCAAGCAGTGAGGCAACTGCCTCTTGAATGCAATTCAGAACTCAGACAAATGAGAGGGATTTAGAGGTGGCTTTTATTTCATGCCAAAACTTACTTCTCTTGTTGGGATTCTGTCCTTTCTGCTGAAATTATGCATGATTCTACACAGCATTAAAAAGCTGTCAGGGTATTACCACCAGTTTACTGCAGTGGTTTCAAGGAAGAACACCTTTGGTTTCTCCGCTGCATGTATTTTTTGGTCAGTTTGCATGCAGTCTTCAGATCTCACAAATTATTCCTGAGTGCAATGAAATGTCATTGCTTCACAGGGTCTAATGGAACAAGTGGAATTGAGAAGATAATGCAAGTTCATGAGAAACACATACACATCCGCTATGATGAAGACACTGGTGAGAACAATATTGCATTACTACAACTCCAGGAGCATGTTGAGTGCAACAACCATCAGCTGCCTGTATGCAGCCCTGAAAGAGACTTTGCAGAACACATTTTAATTCCAAAACTGCCTGGTACAGTCAGTGGCTGGAGAACGGAAGGTGATGAACTTCATGGTGATAAGTTACAGGTTTCATACCTTCCTGCTGAGGACTGCAAACAAAGACTCAACATAAGCCTCACAAACAGGCAGTTTTGTGGACACCTTCAGGAGGCTGTAGACAAACAACTGGCTGGAGGAAGCTTTTTGGTTACCAAGTATAAGGACACTTGGTTTCTGACTGGTATCCTGGGATCTTGGCCACTTGAACACACTGATTGGGAAACATTTCTATTCACTAACACTGCAAGGTATATGATATGGTTTAAACAAAAAATGAACTAAGACAAACACAACCAACCCTTCAGCACCAAACTCCCTCCAATCACTGCAAGGAAACATCTGGACGGAGCCAGGATGCCCATTTGACTCTCTATCACTATTTGCAGCAATGGAAGTTGCAATGATGCTATGTAACTCCAATTCACAGAGAAAAGCCCATCTGTCTTCCCTCCTTCAGCTGACACACAGGACTGTGAAAGTCATAATGCAGTAAACCTAGTTATTTTACTAAAAACTGACTCAAGTTTCCTAGAACTGTTAATCTTAAAACGCAAAAAGCGTTGATGTTTTTCTGGGATTTTAAATGTTGCTAGAAGTAAATGAGTCTCTCTAATTCCTGTTACCCCGAGGTTTGAGTCAGCAAATTCAATGTCCGCATCTATACAGTAAAACTTACGAGGACTAGGGGAACTCCAAGCCTTTAAATGCCTATGTTAATGTAGGACTTGACACTATCATCACACTAAAAAAATGCTTCCCCTCTTACATGGTACCTGGGCTTTTCCATGTCAGTTAGTGGGTTAAAGCCCAACCCTCATAGAATTGAAAACAAACCCACCAAAACCAAACAAAAACACCCCAACTGTTTTATTTCCTATAAAAATAATATAAAAAGACCCAAAACTACCATCCCATCACTACAGTTACATTGTACCACCCCCAAACAAACAAAACCCTCAAAACAGTAACACTTCAGATAATGGATCCAGTGGTAATGTTGATCCCAGAAGCAGAACAAACAAACATATGGATAAGTTACTTAGACAAGCTTTTGTTCATCATAACAAAAATTAAAGATTATCCAAATTAAAATAAAAACAACCAACAAACCCATCTGTGGGCACATACAGACAAAAAAAATCCCACATTTACCTGAACCTGTAAGTATCACTGACACAGCAACGCTTTTGGTGTCAAGCACATCTCTAGTGTTTAGAGAAAGCTTGAAGAGAGTACTTAATAGCAGCAGGATTACTGAAGAGGCTTAAAAAAAAAAAAAGGGGGGGGGGGAACCAGGAAAGAAAATATAATTTCCATTCTAAAGAATGGATTAACACAAGTAAAAAAAGATGATACTTCTCCTCTCTGAACAATATACGCAGAAATAGGAACACAAAGTTCTTTATAAAAGCTTTTAAGTAGTTTGGAAGGAATGTGGAATGTTTTGCTTTATTTACTCATTAAATACTTTGAATTATCAGAAAGCCTGCAGAAACGATTATTAAAAAGTTAGCATTTCAGTCCAATGCACTTTGTAACACTGGCAGCCTTGGTTATTCTGGGAAAGGAGCCACAAACAGTTCCTGGTATTCCAGTCCTGGACAGGAACCAGGTCATTTGCAGTGTTCTCAGTGTGATTAGGAGCAGTTCTACTGGACAAGCCAAGTATCTGAAAAGTACTTGCACAGGTAAGAAGCAATACTCAACACACTGTTGACAGCGGAGGAAATGGATTCTGCTTGCTGACCACAAGCTTTTGATGCTGATGAGATATATAGCCTTTAATGTGACCCTGGAAGAAGGAAAAAATACAGCATTAGTACTGGTAACACAATGCTTGTAACACAATGCCTACAACCTCAACTGTCTTCAGACTATGTCAAAGCTATGTGTGTATACTCAATTACCACTGAACTACTGTACTTAGTATCTGTAAGAATCTGATTTATCAGAACCATAACTGCGTTTGTGCACTAATAGTGCCGTCAGACTGAGAACCTGCTCCCAGGGCCCCCTACTGGTCTACTTACATTTCCTTGAAGAGAGCTCTACAGAAGAGTTTCCAAATTTACACTTCCTCACTTTAAAATGAGGATTTTAACTCATCACATAGTGCATATGTGATGATATAGTACTTCCTTTTCAGACAGTGTTATAACACTGAAAGAAATCTTCTAGTGACCTAATCCCATCCTGTTATTCCTCAACCACACCAAATAATCTGTTTCAGAAACAGGGAAGTGGTTCATTTTCTTGCTGACACAGTAACGCTGCTCCAAAACCTCAGATTTAATAGAAATCTCTAGATTTCAAGTCTTTATCTGTTCATGAGTAGTTGATATCACTTAAAGACAACATGTGAAGCAAACCCAACGAAATCTGGTTTTAATTTTTAATAATGCTAAAGTGTCAAGAGTCTTCTACTTCAAATGCAGAACAAATCCCTTTGGTCCCAGTTACATTTTTTTTTTTTATTTTTAATTCAGTATTTATGCATGCATAGAAATGACAGTACTGGATTTGTAATGTAAAATTCAATTTTAACTGATTCCCGCAAAAGAAGCGGGAACTAGAAGAAGCCTCAGGGAAAATGAAAACATTTAACTTTGGGCATAAGTGAATTAATTTTTTTCTTTACACAAGAAAACCTGGGATTACTGATCATTTTTTTGTACTAAACTTTCATTCTCTACCTAGTACTTTTTACTGTCTGAAATCTGAAAGGACCAGATAACAAGTAGTCAGCACTTACCATATATATAAGGTTAGCTAAAATGCACTGGACTTCATCAATATCAACATCATCTACTTGCATGAATTTCAGGGCACACAGAAAGGCATCTAGAGACAGCTGATGGGTTTTGAGTAGTAAATATCTGAAAGAAACAACAGGAAAAAATGTCTGTCATTGAGAAACAATCACTTAAAAAATCTGGTTCTTAGAAGAACAGCCTTTCTACAATAAATTAACAGGAATTCAGCTCTGTCGGAGAGAACTAAGCAGCATACACATTTCTGTCTCAGTCCTAGGTGAAACCATATTAAACCTGCTTTTGCAAAAAAAAAAAAAAGGCTTTGTTATGCTTACACTTTCTTAAAGAGATTTCTGTATGTGATGATTTTCAGCTTCTCAAGGATAAGAAAGATTCCACATCGAATAAAGAAGGTCTCATGCTTTGTCAGAGCTTCATTCAGTAGCAGAAGATTGCCTTCACTGCAAGGATGAAGAAAGGAAAACATGAGAAGGTGTCACCCAAAAGAGAACAGAAATTGTGTGATTTGGTAGGTATATCCCTTTCCACCCTCCTCAATCGTCCCAAATAAATAAATACCTCTTACTTAATACTTTTTAACTAACACACAACACAACAAAACAGTCATCATACCTTACAGCCTTTCTTACTTCAGTAAACTGCAGAAGGTCATACTTTTTTAGGAGCTGAACTGTTGGCATATGGCCCTGAAAAATAAAAGTTTCCAAGTTTTCCAGGGTGAAGTCAAATGCATTTTAAATGTAATCTAGCAAGCTATGAAAACAAATTTTAAAGAAAAAGACAAATGTTTAGCCACTTTTTCCTTCTACAGAATAAGGGGTGAATAAAAGTCTGCGTAAGACAACCCCCTTGCCATCACCAAAGCCCTTATAGTTCAACTCACTATAACTACCCATTTATCATGGTTTAGGGGGTCTTCGTATTTCTTAATGTTAGGGAACAGTTATTAAACTTATAAAATCAAGACCCTGTGACACAAGGCCTAGACAGATCCAAATTTTATATTATGGCTGTATGATCTAATCTGCAAACAGAAGAACCATGAGAATCCCAAGCATTGCTAATAATACAAGCAGTGCTGCAGCACTGCCAAGTGCTAGCTCAGTCTGTACCAGATTTTTTCTTCACTATGCCTCCATGTGAAAATAAAAATGCCCTCTCAAAAAACACACACACACACAAACAAGAGATAGAAAGTTTAAAGAAACAAAAATAATTCACATTGCTAGATCAGGTAATATTTAACCACGCCACTACCAAACAGAAACTTTGTTTTTAATCCCCCTGCACAGCAGAGATCAGATTGCACACAGACTTGGTCAGACTTTAAATTTAGCTACCATCATGCTATGCTGCTGGAAACTCCTTTCTTCGTTGGAGGATTAGCTGAGAGCAGAACTCAGCTGCAGGTTTACTGAGAGCTGCTAGGAATAAAAAAACACCTATCCAGTATACTTTAAAGTGAGTGTTAATGTTTGGCCTGATTAAAAAAAAAAAAACAAAAAACAAACAAAGCAACTGTAAAACCTGACCTTGATCTTTAATGCCTCTTGTACATTAGAACTGCTCCAGAAAAGCCACAGTAATTTAAGACACTAACAGACCCATCACTTTAAGGCACCCAGTCAGGACTGGGACAAAGTTTTTAAGAAGACTTTGTTTTTCTTTATCAACCCTACCACTGATCTGAAAACAACCAGTAAGAAAGCCAATAAATAAAAAATGTAAACCAGAAGCCCATTATCATACCCACTACACTCTCCCTTTACCAGCTTGATACTGCAAAGGACTGGAAAGAGAGCACTAAGTGAAAAAGGAAGGATGGTCATAAACAGCTCGAAGGGAAGGTAGAAGATGGCAGCTTTCAGAAGGAGGTGATAGTAACATTCTCCATGGGTAACTTTGGTAATAGGGCCAGGAACCTCTAAAATCTAGTTCTTATGCACTCAGTTACACTAAATTAATGGTTAGCATAATCCCACTAACTCAGGGATACACAAATGCTAGCACAGCACACGACATAGGACAGGAAGAAGAAGCAGAGATGTGCTTCATTCTTTTAATACAAAGATGAAATGATCGAATGGTAACCAGCTTTCACTCATTTGTTCAAAGTCTAAACACTCTACTTCATGTTCCTTCTGGCATGCCTCAAATGGGAAAATGTACAAAGTGCAAACAGAAAACTCAAAGACAGGAATCCTTTCTCTCCAGTGGCAAATCCCCCTCAACAGTCTTCAGCCATCTGTTTGCACTTTCTGCTTCCTTTTACCAGGTTAAAGAAGCAGACAGATTTGTACTAATGAATCCACTCATTCCCTGGCCTATCTGGGCACCTGATCACCAGACAGGTACCCTGCTCCATGACCTAAGTTACACTGTCAAGTGCTTCTCCAAAGAACTCAAAAGTTATCTTTATTAAAGGAGTAACTTTAGGTTGCATCTTTAGGAGGGCTGAGAGGAAGGTATGGGGGAAGGAGGATAGGACTTCTGTTTGCTTGTTTTTCCATTTCTCCTTTCCTG